AGGACTGGAGAAAACTTTTACTGCTACAAGCAAAAGCTGCAATAATCTTAACTGTCTAGGAGTAATAATCATAGTCAGGTTGACCATTTGTTAAAAGCACAAATGAAATTACTCCATGTGTTTTACCTGGTTGTTTTGTGCCCGTTTCCTCAGATCACGCCCTTCGTCTATGGAACATACAGACAGACACATTAGTGGCAATATTTGGTGGTGTGGAAGGTCATCGAGACGAAGTCCTGAGTGCCGTGAGTATCATTAGTATACACCTTGCAACAACACCTCTGGAATCAAGAATAACCCATACACAATCACTGGGTTCTGACATGCTTGTTTGTTTATTTGTCTGTTTCTCAAAGAAAAATCTTAAGGAGAAGAAGTAAAAGACTTCATTCAGTTGGGTATAACGCCAACCAGGTTCAATCTCATATAATCAGGGTCGAAATAATATTCACAGTATAGACACTACACTGGAAATAAATGACAGTTTCACATGATGAAATAAACTGATACAGGGAACAAAATGATCACAGTGACATCCGAATATTAATCTCATAAAAAATAATGAGCACACAAATCATCATTTAGGGTGATGCTGTCCCTTCAAAAGGTACAGTTCAAAACATGAATACATTTATTTATCTGTGCCCCACTGCAGGATTTTGATCTCCTGGGTGAAAAGATTATGTCTTGTGGGATGGACCACTCCCTAAAACTTTGGAGAATCAATTCAGAGAGAATGCAGAAAGCTATCTGTGGATCTTATGAGTACAACCCCTCCAAGACCAACAGGTAGAAAATCATGTCACGTTTTACCTGTGCAAACATGTAGGCTATCAGTTTTTGTTTTAAATATTAAACATGGCAAGACTGTTGTTATAGTTTTTTTTTTTTTTTTTTTCAGGCCTTTTGTGTCACAGAAAATTCACTTCCCAGACTTCTCAACACGAGACATCCATAGAAACTATGTGGACTGCGTGCGGTGGCTGGGTGATCTTGTTCTTTCCAAGGTAAATAATAGTGTAATGATACTTGGTGGCATCTGGAAGGTTTTCAGTTTAAGACATTCTTGCACATTTATTAAAATTTGGGGCAAGGGAAATTTATTTTTTATAGCTCCTTTTGACAATGCAATTTGGTGTTTTAGATAAACATCCTTAAAATCGCATTTGTCTGTTAAAATGGTAAAGTTAAACATTACAGGCAAAACTGTATATAAATGCTGTATAATGTAAGATAAGTGTTATGTATTTCAGAATCGGCTATATTGGCCAGGTGTGTTGAACACACAAGGACTTTGACTGTAGTACAGTGGCTCTCAGTGTGTACGTTCAGTGTTCTTTGTACGACGACAAGTAAACCAGACTGAGAAAATAAAAGAAAAAGAAGGTGCAAACAAAAAAAGGGGAAGAAACTGTCCTTGTGCCTGGTTGTCTTGGCGCACAGCGACCTGTAACGCTGTCCAGAGGGGAGGAGTTCAAACAGATTATGTCCTGGGTGTGAGGGGTCTGCAGTGATCCTCTCCACCCTCCTCCTGACCCATGAGGTGTACAGGTCCTCCATGGAGGACCGGCTCTCACCAGTGACCTTTTCTGCAGTCCTGACTGTTCGCTGAAGTCTGTACTTGTCCTGTTTGGTTGCTGAGCCAAACCAGACAGTGATGGAGGTGCAGAGAACAGACTGGATGATTCCTCTGTAGAACTGTATCAGCAGCTCCAGGGGCAGGTTGAACTTCCTGAGCTGAAGCAGGAAGTACATCCTCTGCTGTGCCTCCCTGGTGACGGTGCTGATGTTGGACGACCACTTCAGGGGACTCAAAGTCCACTGTCATCTCCACCATTTTTGATCATGTTCAGCTCCAGGTTGTTGCGAGCACACCACAGGGCCAGCTGTTCAACATCCCATCTGTAGGCCGGCTCATCACTGTCTCAGATGAGACTGATGACCGTTGTGTTGTCTGTGGACTTCAAGAGTTTAACAGTTGTAATTGTGAAGAAGCTAAAGCCTGGCATGCTTTTCTCTGTATTTTTCCTACTTCCATTACAGTCTTGTGAAAATGCCATTGTGTGCTGGAAACCAGGAAAGATGGAGGACGACATTGATCACATCAAACCAAATGAGTCTAACGTGACTATTCTGGGACGCTTTGATTACAGTCAGTGTGACATTTGGTACATGCGTTTCTCCATGGACTTCTGGCAGAAGGTGAATTAAGTTGATTTTTCATTTGTAGCTGCTTATATTGGCCATTTACTTGCCATATTTTGTGTTGAAACTTTTGACTAATGAGGAATCTGGCGTGGTCCTAAAGAGGTTTTTATTCGGTGGTTGATGTTCTGTCTATTTTGATGCTGGTTTTCAGATGCTGGCTTTGGGAAACCAAGTGGGGAAGCTTTATGTGTGGGACCTTGAAGTGGAAGACCCGCACAAAGCCAAGTAAGTACACAGCCCTGGAGGGAAGAAGGTTGTTATCAGAACAGCTCAGTAATTTCTTTTAATCAGTGTTGACAGCCAGGACACTGCTGATTGGTGGCTAAAAAGTAACATGAACATAATGTGATACATGCTCTATGCCAGACTGATGTGTTGTGAAACACTGCCAAACATTTTAGTCACCCATGAAGCTGTGGGTGACGTCACTGAAGGTTTCACTTTAGCTTTTGTCAGTATACAGGCTGTAAACCAGATCTTTGTTAAATAATGAGCTTGTTAGCTTAAGAATTAGCTGAATTTTTTTTCTTGTGAACACAAACAAATAACAGATTAGATTTATCTGTGCCTTGTTGCATTAATTTGTGTATTCATGAGGTAAAACCTTTTTAAAATTCTGTTAGCATTCTTGATGACTCACTGTCAGCATACATATTTTTGTCATCATGGAGATTATGGTGGGACATAATGCAATCCAAGTGCATTTGTGAAGTTTAAAACAACCCTAACAGACATCTGTTCTCTAGGTGCACCACACTGACCCTCCCCAAATGCACATCAGCCATCCGACAAACCAGCTTCAGCCGCGACAGCAGCATTTTGATAGCCGTGTGTGACGACGCGTCAATCTGGCGCTGGGACCGACAGCGCTGAGTAACTGACTGAAAGACATTTATTCTTCATCCTTCCCCAGCTTGTTGCCCTATTGTACAGATCTGCACTGCAAAAATTGTCAGGTTGAACATTAGTCTAGCGTGTGGTTTAAAAGCATTTCCTTAAAAAAGTGAGAAGTCGGGTCAAGATGGTGAGATGGTCTTTGGTTAGTCCAGCCAGTCTTTTGGCAGGATTCTTTGTGAAAAAGAAACGATTCCTGAGATGATGAAAGAACATTTTATATCCGACACCACGTCTGGGATTTATTCCTTTTTAGATGAACTTTTGACCCACAAATAAACAAGCAAAAAGAAAAAGCTTTTTCCCCTAATCATAGATAAATGTTTTATTGTATGATTTTGTACTTTAAGAAATGGTAGTTATAAGCATGTTGGTGAAATAATCCGCTCCTGTATGCCTTCTAGCTTCCTATGCAGTTTGAACATTCACAGTAAATAACACCACTTTAAATTCCTGAGAGAAGATGAGTTGTTAGTCATTTCAGCCAGCTGGCAGATGTTTCACTTATTGTAGAAAAATGATCTAAGATGCTGATGAAATTACTAAACATTGATTCTTTTTGCAGTGTGCCAAATTGTACATCCACACACCACATGAGGATTTTTTGCTTCAGTTGTAGATTTCCCCCATTCCTTCTCTTTTTAATGTCTTTGCTTTGATGCCCCCCACATCTGGTTGATTACTGCGGATCTTACGTGCTGTAGCAGTTTGAAAATTGTGTATTTAATGACCATATAAGATTAAGAAGTCAGTGTTTCTGCTACTGTTCATGAGGCTGATTTACCTACGTTGTTTTGGACCGTGCATCTGGGTCTTTTTCTGCACTCTGCTCCAACATGCAGACATCATGTGACTGAAGGCTTTGCCCACCCTGCCCTCATGAACCTCCTCTAATCAAAAACGTCCAGCTGCAAGCGCTAAATCTCTTATAAAACTACGACTCGCTGGTGTGCGCCCTGGCGCTGCGCTCCCTGGCCGTTGACCCGTTGTGGACTTTTGCCCTCCGACTGTGATAAGTGAAGATAAGACAAACGGCACCAGAGCGACCCGAACATGTTTTTGCCGAAGTCGTCCAAAAGTTTGTCCAAGTATGGCTCCGAGTCGTACGGTGCCGGGGAGCAGATCTGTATGGTTGAATGTGGCTTTCAACCGGGCTGCACCTGTAGCGCCCACTCCCCCGGCAGCACCAGGAGACACTGTGCGCAGAAGTCCCAGGTAGGCCTCCAGAGAGCTGCGGGACATCGGCAGCTGTCCTGTCTCTCTCAGTAAGTCCTTTAGTCAAGTTTAAAGTTTTATTTTGAAGATTGCATTCACATAGACCACGTCTATCTTTGCAATTTGGCTCATTGACTTCATATAAAGGAAAACATTTTTCATAATGTTCCGGTGGTACTAAGTCGTAGCACTGGTATATAAAACTTAACTTTATAACAGAACTGTAAGCAGGTCCAAATTGTTTAAAAATATATTTACACGTGTTGGCGATATAATTGTGTAGACAACAAAAAGTATAACTGAAGCAGTTTACAACTATGACTAATTTGGACAAAAAAAATCTGGTTTCAGCTCTTCAAATGTTATATTGTCCTGTTTTCTTACACTTCTGTTCCCTTTGGGTCTTAGACTATTTTAAAAGCTGGCGACCACTTTGAGTGATTTTCTTTGAACACATGCAACAGGTCAAATGGCCCTATGTCAGATCATCAGATTTTCTTCTGATTCTTTATTGGACAAGAGTTTTATTATTAAAAAGAAGCAAAAACTTCAGCCCGTGGTTCAACATTTTCTCGAATCTTTTTTAACGCCTATACTGTTGTTGCTTATTGTGTTTGTGATCTGGACCAAAGCCAAATGAGTGTCATGTAATGCAAGTCATTCCAGGGTTGCATAACAAAATGAAAGTGTAGCAAACACCTATTGCTGCCACTGCTACAATAACAGCAGTGTCTTTGACTTACATCACCCTACCTAGAAATCAACTTGTTACATTGTCTTGGAGGGCTCTTAAAACTGAGCCTATCAACACCATCTTCTCAATTATATGACCCCCCTCCAAAAAAAAAAAGAATGATTGAAAGAAAGTAAGGATTAGTGACTAAAACTTTAATTAGAACACCTCAAGGCCTCAGGTTTCAAAATTTAATCAAGCACCGAGCACTATTAACCCTTGAGCTCTGTTCATGTTTAGTTTGCACTGCCTGACAGCCGCAAACATCTTTTGGCTTTGTAACTCAACATAATCAAAGAATTCTAATCTAAAACAATGCAATAATTAACTCTAATAATCAACAGATGTTTACATTTGCCCTTTACCTTTGTTAGATTACATTACACAACTGTATTATTCTAATTTTTTGTTAGATTGGGAAAAAAACTAAAAATGAAGCAAGTTTTTTCACAACTGCTGATTCTTATTTGAACCTCAGTAATTTCAAACATTCAGGACATTTCAAACTGTGCACAGCACAAGCTGAACACACAGTAACCATTTTGGTCAAACCTATACTTCACATGATCTGTGGTTCTATTTCGTATAGGCTTTGCCCTGTCGCTATTGGGTTTATCCCTCGCGCATGCGCAGTCCTGAAGAGTTTCCTTCGCGCCCTGTGCCCTGCACTAGGCTGTCCCCAAACAGGTCCGCTGCAATAGCATAAATCAGTGGTCCCCAACCTCCGGGCCGCGGACCGGTACCGGTCCGTGGATCAATTGGTACCGGGCCGCACAAGAAATCATTAATGATTTCCGTTTTATTTATTATCTGAGTCTGAACGGTCTTTTATTTTGAAAAATGACCGCATTCTCTCGGTTACATCTCGGTTACTTGAGCGCCAAAACTGGCTTACTTGTGGACATATTCAGCCTGCTCAATGAACTCAATCTGTCGCTTCGTGGGAAAATGACAACTGTCTTCAAGATGGCAGATAAAGTAGCTGCATTTAAAGCCAAACTGGATTTGTGGGGACAGCGCGTCAACAGAGGCATTTTGGACATGTTTCAAACATTAGCGGGGATTTTGGGTGAGACTGAGCCTGAGCCTTCATTCTCCCAGCTGGTGCACGATCACCTGTCTTTGCTTTTAAAAGAGTTCGAGCGCTACTTCCCAACCACAAAGGACCCACGAACTGCCAAGGAATGGATCCGCAACCCATTTGTCAACAAACCAGGTGAATCCAGCAGGTCTGTGCAAGAAGAAGATCAACTGCTGGAGATCACAAATGACGGCGGCCTTAAAAGTATGTTCGAGACAACAACTCTGTCGGTGTTCTGGATTAAAGTCATGACAGAATACCCTGAGATCGCAAACCACAGCACTGAAAACTGACTTTAATGTTATACTCATGTTATGTTTGTAGGGGTCCTACAAATTCTGTTGCGCAAAGACTTTTATTAGACTTTTATTTTGAAATGGTTCATGGATATTGCGCTGTCTTCCGGTAGTGCCGTGTGTGTGAAAACACGGGCAGAGAGCCTCCTCTGATTCAGCATGAGCGGGCGTGAGTCCAATGACTCACTTGCCGCCACCGTGGGCCCACCCGGCTCTCTGTCGATCCAATGGTAGAGCTGGGTGCCGGCAGAGAGAGCCTCCTTCGGTGAAGCTGTTTGCTCCCGCTGCTAGTTAGCCTAAGCTGGGTTTTGGGGCTCTGCTGCACTTCTGACGGAAGTGCCGCAGAGTGTGCTGCTATTCCTGAGCTGGCGCAGGAAGTACATCCTCTGCTGTGCCTTCTTGGTGATGGTCCTGATGTTGGACGTCCACTTCAGGTCCTGGGAGATAGTGAAGCCCAGGAACCTGTAGGACTTGACTGCTGACACAGTGCTGCCAAGTATGGTGGGGCGGGGGTAAGGTTGGGGTGGCTCTTCCTGAAGTCCACCGTCATCTCCACTGTTTTGAGCGTGTTCAGCTCCAGGTTG